CCTTCATCTAAAGTGAGAATAGCAGCACAACTGGAAGAACGTAATCGATGTCACTGAACTGTGCATGTAGAAATTTTTGAAATGGTGTATCTTTGGCTATGTATATTTTCGCCAAAAAAAAGGTCGAGAAGGGAGAGGGTTGACATATTGTGGGGTTGTTAACCAATGTCATAAAACAACATGTGTACTGACTGGTGAGAAACAATTTGTTCAGTAAACCTTCACCTAAAATACAATTAAAAAAAAAAAAAACCCACCAAAACTTAAAAAAAAAACCAAAAACTAGTGTACCAATTTTAGCTTCCGATATGAAGGAATGAGTTCCACAATAAACTCTAGACAAAATACATTTATAATGACTTTTCAACCACATCTATGGGTTTAAAAAAATGAAGTACATAGTTCTAGTTTCAGAAAGGTATGCTTTCTTGGTAGATCTTTTATTTTACAAACTTGCTATGTTTAATGACATAGGTGATTCAGAGTTGTCACTGATTTTTTCACAAATGGAATATAAAATATATATATATTTAAAGGATAGGGATATGCCAAGGGGCACAGAAGCCACCTGAAAGAACCCCCAATATCCAAAGATGAAACAACTTACAGAAACAAACACGAGAGTACTAGATTATAACCCAATGAATAAAATAAATATCCATGAGTCTATACTGACATAAATAAAATTGAATAAACAAATAAATGGGGGAGAGACAACTCTCCCTTATGAAAAATTAATAAATGAAGAAGAAATGAGGGAAATACAGATGACCATTAAAAACCACAGTGACAACGGCTAGACTAGACTAACCAACCAACGGTAAAATTAGTGGGTTATTTTGACAGAAACAGGATATCGGCACACTCTCAAAAGTATCTCCCCCAAGATATTTATTAACTACAAAAGCAAAAACAATAACTTTACACTGGAGAAAGCTGGCGGACACTACCTTAACCAAGTGATCAAGGTTAACATCACCAGTAATTAGACATAGTGACATCAGTGTCCTCTGATACATACACATCACTTCTGTGGTATTCTTGCCAAAAATGCATAACCTCGATCTCATTATAAGAAAGCATTAGGCAAATCCAAATTGAAGGACCTTCTTAAAAATAACTGACCAATACTCTTCAAAGGTATCAAAGTCATGAAAGACAAGCAAAGATTGAGGAACTGTCATAGATCAGGGGACACTAAGGAGACATGACAACTAAGTGCCATGTGGGTGCCTGGAGAAAAAGGACATTAGGGGAAAAACTGATGAAAACTTCGGTTAACAGTATAACAATGTTAATTTCTAAGTTTTGAAAACTGTATTATGTTTATGTAAGATGCAAACACTAAAAGAACTCTACTCATTTTGTAACTTCTCTGTAAATCTAAAATTATTTCAAAATAAAGTTTAAAAAATATTTAGAGAAATCTTGAAACCTTCATAGGGCAGATAGCAATTTGTACCCTATAATAAACATTTTATAAAATGAACAAATACTTAGTATAAATTCATATGAAAACACACATACACACACACTTGACTACCTGTAAATGTATAATTATGGAGAAATTTCTTTTAAAGTTGTCTTCTCAGAAGATGACTGCTGACTCAGTTCCGAATGAGAATTAAACCACTCAACTACATTATATGTTAATCTAAGAACTACACAACAATATTTAATCTTACAAGGCTCTGTTTTATTGAAACTAACTGGCAAACTAAATCAGCATTCTGTTAAAAATAAAAGCAATTCTTAGTATTTCTGAAAATAAAGTACTTACCAAAGGAGAAAAGATGAGTTACAGGAAGCTGTATGGATCTCATCTCTTTTTTAAAGAACTCACAGTCTACAACAAACTGAAATATAAAACATTGATTTATTAGAAAAAATAGAATTAGTTTTATAGTAAAATATTTTCACTGAATGTTTGACTGAAAAATAAAGGTCTACAAAGGTCAGTTTTGGAACAAGTAGCATCTAGCATACTATAATTCTGGCTACACTTAGATGGCAAGAATTCCTCAAGAAGAGATACTAAATTGAGAAAACTTGATAAACAAGTTTTATTTAACTTACTAGATAAGTTATTAAAGCATTATTTATATTAACAACAGATTCATAGAAATGTTTTCTTATAAGTGTTCGTAGGGACATTGGAGGACGGATCAAAGCATTAAGGGTGAAGGATAATTTATAATGAATTAAAGACTTAGATACTATATCTCTGAATACTTTCATAAGCAAAAGGAAAATGTGAATTTATTATATATCTTTTTTAAAGATCCCACATTCATTAAGTATCTACAGTCTAATTAGACTCCAAAAGGTTTTTGGAAACCTACTGCAATTCATCTACAGATGGTTAATGTTATTTGTGTAGATTATCTCAGGTTAAATAGTGATTATTATAAACTGAAAAAACATTTACTATTTATGAAGCAAGAAAAAAATGCTATCTCAAAAAAGCAAAGCTATAATGTGACACCTGCACCATTATAATTTTTTGTAATAATATTTCTTTTCTAATAATATTTCCAATAATAATAATAATAATAACCTTTGCTCTCAGCTGTCTGCAGTAAGAATCTTTCTGGAAAATGTATAATCTTATTAAAATAGTATCTATAATACAACCAATTTATTTTTATCTAAAAGAGCCAAAGAAATTAATCTGATGCCTAACTCTGATTAGCAAGTTTGCTGCCCACAGAAAGCAGGAAGCCAGTTGGCTCTATCCTAGGTTTTTCTGCTAACTACTCCTTGGATGTTTTTGAAGCAGTGTTGCTTGCTTGCCTCTTAGGTGGATTTTTGATTCTTTTTGAAAGTGAAAAACACATCAGTAACTGCTATTAGACTGTAGTACACACATGGGAAAAAAAGGAAAAACTTGTTAAGGGGCTTTGCTTCTATTTCTCCTTCTTTGCATACAGGGAAAAGAGCACAGATATTTTCATTGCAGAGAACAGCTGTTAAAAGATTAAAGAGATTATTTACTGAACAGGATTATTCATTATATTTTTACAAGTACTGTGGGGTGAGCCACTGCCTGAGTCATGGAAGCAATTTTTAAAATCAGTTTTAAATCATTTTGCACAGGTGTTTAACATAACAGAATTTTTATTATTGCTTTAAACTTTGGGCTGTGTCTTTAGTTTTGCACGATGGAATAAACTCTTAAACAAGAAAGAATTCAAAGATCTTTCCCTAAAACATCTGAGGTAAATTTCTAATGGGTGTAATTATTCTGTTGTCATGAAAAAAAAAAAAAAATGCAGATAATTCCATATTTGCATTTCTAAAAATATATTAAGATATCAGTTGACTCAAATTTTTTCTAACTGCCCATTTGAATATATATACCCTTTTGATGATACGCTGTAACATAGACATGAAAAGGCCTATGTTGTCATTCTAGTGAGATAGGGTTGCACAGCAGTAGAGTCAGCAGTGTTACTTTCCAAAGAGCATTAAGACATTACATATTTATTAGGCTGCTAAGAGTACTACTTGCAGAAAAGCTCATTAATTTCTTGTAATAACAAAGAGGAGCTTTCCAATTTTTGGAAAGATGTTAGATTCATTCAAAGTCAACTTACCTGACAGAAAACCCTTAAAGAGAGCTTTTAGTATTGAAGATGCTGAATTACCTCTCACTTGAGCTAAGCAAAACAAAACAATGAATCCATTATAAGGCACTTGTGAGACTAGGTCTTTGAGATGATTCTCAACTACATCCTGCTTTTCCTTTCCCTATTTCTTTTGAATTTTCCTAATAATTTTGGCAACCAATCTCAGTCAATTTTCTCATTCAAGAAACATTTTTTGAGCATTTATGTGGTAGCCACTGAAAGCTGAGAATGCAAAATAGAATAAAACATATCTGGTCCTTCCTCTCAAACAGTTCACAATACGGTGATAGCAATAGAGACATTCACAAATAAATTACAATTCAATGTAATAAGTTCTTCAAAGAAGTTATAAACAAAGTATCATGGGAGTAAAAGGTTATTGGAGGAGTTGGAAAAGCAAAAGAGGGGACACAGACTGGATCTCAAAGGCGAAATGAGGAAAGGGGAGGATGCAGAGCTCCTTTTACTTCAATCTTCTTCCTTCTCCCCAAATCACCATCTTTTTATTTCTACTCCTACTTCCCTAGCACAAGACTGAATAACCCCTTATGAAGTGCCTAATCTCCCCACTTCTGACCCATCCTACACCAAAGATTAATCTTTCATAATACATAGCTCTGATACCATTACTACTATGGTGAGAAACCTTACACCGACCTACTGACTCTTGAATTCTATAAAGTCCTCAATCCTCCAATAATGGCCCTCACATATGGCCATAAATTACTTTTCCAGACTTTTCATCCACTACTATTCTACCCATGGTGCCTATCCTTTCAAAATTACTATTCGTTTACTCACTGTTTGCCAAACACATCCCATGCTTTCCCACGTCCATGCTTTGCTTTCACTGAGCCTCTGTCTGAACAATGCTTTCAGAACAGTGCCATTAGAACTTTCTGTGATGATGCTGTTCAGCACTTGGAATGTGGCTAGTGCAACTGAGGAGCTGAATTTTAAATTTTATTTAATTTTTATTAATTCAAATCTAAATAGCCATATGTGCCTGTATTGAACAGCACAGGTCTAGTATGTTCATTCCACCTGTCAAAATCCTAACTATCCTTTAAGGCCATTTCAAATAGCACCTCATTATAAATCCTTTCTAGATTCTATCAATCAGAGATAATCTTCCCCTTTTACTCTTTCATGCACTTGCAATATTCTGACTTGTACTATGTATTTTTTGGTACCTCTTTTATTCTCATTCTCTCCCCAGCCAAACATATTCTTCCTCGCCTTGTCCAACAGTATGTAGCTTTCTGAGGACGGGGTCTGTGTCTTTCCTCATTTGTGTGCCTCCTATAATTCCTGGCACGCAATCTTATATATAAAAGGGTACCCAATAATTAACTGCTTTTGAAAGACTGATAAAGTGGAACTAGCTCCCGCTTGGAACAAGGGGACTTGGGTTTATTCTGCTTAGTTCAAGTTAGAGTAGATGACTCTAATGATTTAACAGCCTTAGGTGGCTCATCAAACTGGCCATTATTTTAGATAAGCCTTATTCAGAAGAATTCTTTAAAAAATAACTTTAAAATTTAGCATGTATATCCCCAAAACATTCTGGTAACAGCATTAATCCATTTGTTACCTTACTTCCATGAACAGATGGTACATAAACAACGAGATGAGACAAAGATGGATAGTCTTGGAGCCTTAATGTCAGAGACTAAAAAAAGACAAAGATAAAAAGCTTATGTTTATTTCTTTTAATGCATGTTAAAAGAAAGATAAATTACAAACACTTATTTCTTACTTGATATTTCAAACTGCATTTACTTCATAAAATGTTCATGTTTACATATCTAGGTTAATAACCCTCCTGAAAGTCAAAATCCTAATAATTATGTTAAACATGGACTGCCAAATGTATTCCTTGACCTGTAAAATGAATGACATTTAACACTGAATTTAACTATTTCAAACCATTATTGCCAGATTTTTGTAATTTGGCTATCTTTTATGTATAATGGTACAGTATTAGTTCTATATTTTGGTAATATATGAAAAACAACCCTCAGCTGATGAATGAATGGATGTTAAATATGCTGGAACAGTCACAATTTAACCTCAACTAATCCTGATACAATCCAAGTAGTACGGAGCTGCTAGCTAATGATGTATACTAACATCATCCCTGTAATCTGTTTAGTGAATGACACAGAGACACAATAGAGCTAATTAAAAAAAAAAAAAACCAAACCTCTTGCCATCAAGCCAATCCCTACTCCTACTGACCCCAAAGGATAGAGTAGAACTGCGCCACAGGGTTTCCAAGGAGCATCTGGTGAGTTCGAACTGCTGACCTTTCGGTTAGCAGCGAAGTTCTTAACCACTGTGCCACCAGGGCCCACTTCACTAAATGAACCATTCTCTTCTCAAAATTAAGACCAGATACTATAGGCCATATCTTAAGGAATGAATAGATAAGAGACTGGTCTATTTAATATAAAGTCAAGCTACCAAATCCAGTTTTTAATCTAGTTTTTTATGGAAGTAGAAATGGGGGTGGAAGTAGTTATATGTTGTATGTGTTCTAACAATACGGTTGCACTAATTGACTCTAGCTTATAGTGACCCTATAGGATAGAGTAGAACTGCCCGGCAGGGTTTCCAAGGAGTGGCTGGTAGATTCGAACTGCCGACCTTTTTGGTCAGCACCCAAACGCTTATCCACTGTGCCACCAGGGCCCCAGACATTTTTTTGCAGACACTTCCCTTTTTCCATTCTTCAGACGCACCAATGTGGGCAGGTAGGACAGAGGTGCTGAAGTCAAAGACCTCTCAATGAGTGGTCCCCTTACAACCTGCGCTAGACTCGCTAGGGAGTACTTGTTAGAAATAAATTCCTGGGCTTCACATTAGTCATACTTATCAAAGACTCTGCTATAGACTTATAAATTCTAATTTAATTAAAGGGCCTTAAAAAGCCAGGCATACCACAGCTGGAGGCAAGTGAGACTAACCATATAGACAGTAGATAATATGAAAGATAAATTAATTAGGAAGAAGTTAGATACTCTGTTTAGCTCTCTACTCTCCTAGCTTCTGAATATTTATTCTCAAGAATGGAAAGTGCCAGATTTCAAAGTATTTTGCTGGAGGTTTCCATTTATTTATTAACAGTTTAGTCAGCAGAGATGCTTGAAAATAATATGATTCTCATCATCTGACATTACTTTTGTTGACACATTATTACTATGAAAAAAAAAACCCCACAGTTTTTTTTCACATTAATCTTTCCTTTTTCTTCAATTTCAGGCCCAAATAATTTTGTGAGCCTTTTATAAATGGCTAACACAAATTACATATAATTTTGATTTTAATTAAAAATGGAAAATTTTATTTACATCTAATAGTTACAATTCTCTTCAGCCGAGAACACTTAAAATTATGGAATATTCTAATCCTTGTTTGCTAACGTCTCCCAGCATTCACTATAAAAAGTAAGCAGCTGGAATAGCTTGTTCTCGTGCTGTTCAGCCAGCTGTTTCTTATACTCACAGCAGACAACAGAGGGGCCCAGAGCTAGATGAATACATTGTTTAATCTTTGGAGTTTTTTTAAATAAAGATTTTATGATTTGAGGACTACCTTTTTAAAAACAGGAGCAAAATACATTTTAACAGGTTTTTGGTGTTTTTTTTAATTGTGGTAAACAGGGTTGCTATGAGTCAGAATCCACTCAACGGCAACGGGTTTGGGTTTTTTTTTTATATTAATTATGTTCATCATTGACAGGGTTTTAATCATTTATTGCAAATTAGCTCTTAAATTATAGGCTAGATAAACAAACAAAAAACCAAACCTGTTGCCACTGAGTTGATTCCAACTCATAATGACCCTACAGGACAGAGTAGAACTGCCTCACAGGATTTCCAAGGCTGTACTCTTTATGGAAGCAGACTGTCACATCTTTCTCCCTCAGAGCAGCTGGTAGGTTCGAACCTCCAACGTTCTGGTTAGCAGCTGAGCACTTAACCACAGCACCACCAGCACTCCTATAACTAAACTGGAAATTCAAGGAAATATTTAATATATATTATGAGTAGCAGATCAGTAAGTATATCCCAATAGTTTTGTTTGTTTTGCTCTGCCTGGAAGGCTAAGATAAAACCAGTGAGAGACCTTATAAATGTTCATATGAGTCAAATCACTTCCCTACTATATTTGTTTCATAAGTACAAAGTTGCATGAATGAATATGTACAAGTAAGATTGAGCAACGTGACAGAAAGAAAAATTGCAACCATTCCAAAGTCAGGGGTAAATGACTTGCAATTATTCATTCTGTCATCATTCCTCCTCGTTAATATGTTTAATTGAGAGTTGACTATATATACGAACAAAAATAAATATTTATGATCACAAATAACCAACAGAATTGGAGTAAGAGGCTGGACCAGCAAGACAATTTCACTTTCAAGTCTATGAGTCTAGTATTCATTATGGAGATATATTTTATTTTTAAAGTACAGATTTACTTGAAAACTGAAAACTATCAATACTGGCATATGATGGTAGTTATAATAAATACAATTTGGAAATTAGAACATTTTTTTAAGATTTTTTTTTTAAATCAAATTTTAAAATTATTTTGGTTTTTCAACAACAGATTTTGATAATATGCAAACCAGTCTTTCATAAAAAGACCAGCTGACCAGCCAGAATTGCTTAAGGAAACTTAAGCTGATGTAGAAAATGACTACATTTCTCTTTGAGATGCGCACTTCCCTACTGCAGTCCCTCCCTCCCAAAATGAATTCTGAGTTATATTCTCCAGCTTATATTTTAAAACAGACCATTCCAAACATATCCTCAAATTTAATTTAAAAAATCCATCCACCTTTTTGACATGATGCTTTAACATCCAGAGATTTAACTGTATTCAAAGTATTATTGTATTATAATTTTTGTCTCTGAAAATAAGAATAATTGTATGCTATTTTTCATCAAATGTATTTCTAGAGAAAGTATTTCTAAAATGTAGGTTAGCAAATCTCAGATATACTGAATACCTAGATGAATTAATAAAACAGCATATTCTGAAATGCCTGTATGTTCAAGTACCTTTTCACCTTGGATATTAAAATTCTAAAGCCATAATTTACCTTAATTGTTGGCAGCAGTTCAGCTTTCCATGATAAATCAACCCCTTGCCGGCTTTGAAATAATATATAAAAAGACAATTAAAAGACAAATATATTAAAGTGTTGTAAATTATAAATAAGCTTCAGAGGAAAGAGAAATCATCTAGAGACCTATCAGTTATAATGAGTTGAAATCTAATCCAATATATATTGTTCATGCAGTCCCACTGTATATTACTGGTTATGGCAATAAAAATTTGTTTTTCCCCATAACCAGTTTTAATGTTTGCAAAATCACTGCTATGTTAATTTATTTTTCATTTTAAAATCAATACCATAATTTAGTATATCAGCAAAATTAATATACGACTGTATGAAGCCATTCTGAAAGTATGATTTTTGAGTATTTGGTTTGTGTTGAGAAAAATGAACAATGAAGGGTCTAAGGTTTGAAATACTTACCACATAGAAGTACTGTTTATGCATCCAAAAATCCAACTATTTGTATCCTGTTAATTAATAACAAAATAAAACACACTAGTAGTATACAATATAAATTTTCAACATTTTACTGTTACATGATAGGGTGAGTAGGAGCACTGGAAACATAAAACAATAACTTGTTATTTAGAAACATCCAAGTTCTCAAAAGTCAAATGGGTCAAAAGTAAACAAAGAAGTTGAATTCAACACAGATAGATAAGCAGGTAACCTAGAGCACGATTCCAAGGGCTCAAGATTAAAGCTAGATATTACTTCATCTCTCCAGAGAGGAAATACTTGAAAGATGTTTATGGTATTTTAACAATATTCTGTACTTAGGTTCAGCCATTTGAGGGTACTATGACCTAAGATCTTCACTCCAAATTTTAAGGAAGTAGTAAGAGAAATGTTCTGAGATCAGATGATCAAACTACTGAAATACTACCAGAGCAAATGAGAAATCCTACCAGAGGATGAGAAGAACTTCTCAGATAGCTACATAAAATTTTCCTTAGAACTATAGATAGACAATGAAGAAATTAATCCTTTCATTCAACTAGTATTTATATAGTCCACTCTAGGGGCCAAGGAATTATGCTAAGCCCTCAGAGACAATAATGAACTGGACAGACACAGTCTCTGCCCTCATGGATCTTAATACAATATGAAGACATTTTTGCAAGAATAAAGAAAAGACAGCGGATAGGAAACAAACCAAAAACAATGTGGTATTTTCTCTGTTCTCCACTGGTAGCAAAACATTTGTGTGACTCCTATTATCAGTTATCTGTGTGTACCAGAGCAATAATATGACAAGGCAACAAAACAGATCTGCATAGCCTAGGTAAAGTAAACCTAGCAGGCTCTAAAGATTCAAATCACTTTTGGTAATGGGTTTTTGCAGTTACCAAGGGAGCCTACTCTTAAAGGCAGCCCTTATCATGAAAATTGCCAACGACCTACACTAATTACTTCAGCAGAGGGAATTCTATTGTTCTCATTCATTAATGGATTAAAGAGATAAAGTATTATTAAAACCCACCCTAAAACATCATGCTGATGTAATCTAGGTGTTAAAGGAAAAATTTCAGGTCATCCAGAAAAACTCCTAACGAATTACAAAAACATACTGATAGGCTTCTAAGAAGTTACTCAGGAATTACCGGGTGTTGACTAACTCCTGGAGTATACAGGAAAGAAAATGCTACTTAACATAAAATTTATCGATCTCAAAATAATTTTGTCTACAGTAAAACTCAAAACTGCCACACTTTCTTAAACAGTTACCTGAACACAACAAAATTCTTCTACTCTTAGAACTTTAAAAAATATTAACGTATGATACACAACTAGAGAGGGCTCCATAAAGACAGCCATATTAGGGAAAGCTAAAGCAAACACCTGAGTAACACACTAATATACAAGCTTAAAATAGTGCTGGACATTAAGGAAACTAAAAAGAAAAGACAGACCAGATGTACACTCATTAATCAAGAAAGGAGTAGCCTCTTCTTGAGTAAAGGAAATTGAGATTAACCGGGAGAGGCTCTTCAACGAAAGGTCACAGCAAAATATCCTACTAAAGTATATGCACCCTGGGGGTGGGATCTTTTGTATACTTCACTAAGTCCTATATATAATTAATATTTAATCTGTGAATAAACATCAAAGAAAGTTTGTCATTGTCAAATGGCCTACTCATTCTTTTATATATGATTGTTCAAACAAAAAGGAAAGTTATTTAAACAAAAAGGAGAGAGAACCTGGGAAGTTACATTGTATATACAGGAAGAAAGTACATCTGAAATTCCGTCGAATGTAAATATTTCCATAATGTTTACGTTCAATATTAACCCATTTTTAGGAATTTCAAGGATGAGCTGCTGATGAAACAGATTATATTCACAATAAAATCTGAAGTGTCCACATTAAGAAAATTTTAAGGGTGTCTTTATTTGAAAGAAATTTCCAACTCCAACCAGAGGAGGCCTCAAAACATATACATAAGGTCTTAAAAACAGATAAGACTCTAAGATCCAACAGAACCATATTTTGAAAATACCTTGTAGTCCTGAGTTTATCTGGAACATCAGTATGAACTCATGGGTTTTTTATTTTATTTTTTTGTCTATTAGTTAAGATAAATTATGACATTATTACTTAAACATTCCTAATATCATAACAAAAATATGCTATAGCATCTAACACATTTCTTACAATACCTAGCATATAGTGGGTGCTCATTAAAAAGAAACAGGCAAATTCACTGCTCTGAAACTCTAAGTCTAGACAACAGTAACAAAAAACATACTATATCTTAGAGAGTATTTGGTATTAACAAACATTCCAAATTTCAGTATGGAAGCCAATGGAAAAGCAGGTTCACTTTTTAAATTCATATAGAACTACTCTGCTTAAATATACCTATTCCTTCAAGTTACTAACAAAATGTTAGAATTGAAAGAGGCATGTGAATCCAATTTCTTCATCCTGAACATAAGGAAACTGAAGCAGAAAGGTAAAAGGCTTAAATTAGAGCCAAAGGTACAAGTCAATAGTGTATTATCAGTTATGGAAACATCATTTTGATTAATATTTTTCAATCAAAACACTGTTCCAGACAAATATTCTACAGTTAGCTAGACTGAATAATAGTTTATCACTAAAGAAGGTGAGATCTACTAGATGTTAGTTAAATCTAAAAAATTAAAAATAGTTGACTTTTATATTTAAATAAAATATATCAATTTTCTTACCAGCATGGTGCTCTGACAATAGACATGAGTGTAGATTTTTCTATGATTTGCAAGAGGAAATGTAAAATATATCTTATCAGATTCCTAAAAAAAGAGAGAAACACTTAATACAACTATCATAAGAGTGGATAATTTCATCACTGAAAAATCTAGATAAAGAGCAAATAAGTAATTATTTTAATTCTATCACTCTTGGTATTGTTGAGAACCAATATTCTAGGAGTAGGAGAAAAAAGATACAGGTATAAGATAGAGATTATATACGACACATTCCTAGCTCTGCCCACTGAAAAACGCCTAGAAATGGCAACCCAGTAGTAATAAGCATCTATAGTACCCAGATTTTTTCTGATGAAGTTCAGAAGAGATTATACCTGAATGTGAGGAAAACAAAAATCTTCACAACTGGATCGATAAGCAACATCACGATAAATGGAGAAGAAACTGAAGTTATCAACAATTTCATTCTACTCATATCAATAATCAACATCCATGAAAGCTGCAGCCAAGAAATCAAATGATGTATTACACTGGGCAAATCTGCTACAAAAGACCCCTTTTTAAAGTTTTAAAAAGCAAAGACATCGTTTTGATGACAAATGTGCATCTGACCCAAGCCATGGTCTATTCAATCGCCTCGTATGCATGCAAAAGTTGGCTAGTGAAAAAGGAAGACACGAGAATTAATGCATTCAAACTGTGGTAATAGTGAAGAATATTAAATATACCATGGACTGCCAAAAGAATGAACAAATCAATCTTAGAATACAAACAGAATGCTCCTTGGAAGCAAGAATGGCAAGACTTTGACTCACTTACTTTGGACATTTCATCAGGAAATCTCTAGAAAAGGATATTATGTTTGGTAAAGTACAGAATCAGCAAAAACAAGAGGAGCCCTCAATGAGATGGACTGACACAATAACCACAACAGTGGACTCAAATATACCAAGGATCATGATCATGAAGATGGCGTAGGACCAGGCAACATTTCCTTCTGTTATACGCGGGGTCGCCATGAGTCAGAGCCTACTGGATGACAACTAACAACAGTGCCCGGATTATAGTTTTAACATACTGGTTCACATACAAAAGGAATCCTTGCTTCAGAAATAGCTGATTCAAGGTCTGGGGTAGGAAACGTAGAAAATGAGCTTAAATATCTTGTTATACTGGATAGCAAAGAAACTATCAAAGACAACCAGGAACTATATTAAAAAAACCTAAGGAGCCAAACTTGAGATGGTTTCCACCGGCTAAAGATAGAATAATTTTAGTATCAATGGCCTGAAACGCAAATATGTTTAAATCAATGAGTTCACAGTAATATTGGAAAAAATAACCCAACCTCTAACTGGTTACTGATGGACAACACTGGTAAATCGAACTCACTATTTTGATAACCAGTAAACAAATATAAGGCAAGATCCAAATATCTAAACAATTATCATTCTTTTCCTTTATGATCTGTACCAGGTTTAACAAATTTAGTAGATGAAAGTTTCTTCTATACAGAGTGTCTTAGTCATCTAGTGCTGCTGTAACAGAAATACCACAAGTGGATGGTTTTAACAAAGAGAAGTTTATTTCCTTACAGTAAAGTAGGCTAAAAGTCCAAATTCAGGGTGTCAGCTCCAGGGGAAGGCTTTCTCTGTTGGCCTTCTCATCAATGTTCCCCTGGATTAGGAGCTTCTTCCCGCAGGGACCCTGGGTCCAAAGGACACGCTCTCCTCCTGGCACTGCTTTCTTAGTGCTATGAGGCCCCCATTCTCTGCTTGCTTCCCTTTTGTTTTATCTTTTGTAAGGTAAAAGTCGGTGCAGGCCACATCCTAGGAAACTCCCTTTACATTGGATCAGGGATGTGACCTGGGTAAAGGTGGTGTTACAATCCCACCCTAATCCTCTTTAACATAAAATTGCAATCACGAAACGGAGGACAAGCATACCATTCTGGGAATCATGGCCCAGTCAAATTGATACACACATTTTTTGGGGGACATAATTCAAACCATGACACACAGTATTCCAGTTAAGAAATGAAGAAGGAATAATAAAATCAGCATATCATCATTTTGCATACCCTAATGAATTTGATTCCAGGCATTCTTCATAAACCTGAATATGATCAAGCCTCCAGATCCAACTAGTAATTCACAGGAAAATAGTGGGCATAGGAACATTTTCAATGACACCACAGGAATGCAATCAGCAAAATCCAGACTGTGTGAAACTCTACAGGACAAATGACCTGATTTCTTTAACAAACAGATTATAGGAAAAGAAAGGAGTGAAGGAAGTATTATAGATTAAAAGAGGGCTGAATAAGAGATATATCAACCAATGATAATGTGTGAACCTTGCTTGGATCCTGAATTAAACAAACTAAAACCCAGGAAACAACAAAAAATTTATGCCAATTATAATAAAACTGGAAATCTGAGTACTAACTATAGATACTTACTAAGGAATTATTGTTCAATTGTTTTAAAGTGGGTAAATGGTATGTATGTGCATATTTTTAAAGGGCTGTTAGCTTTCAAAAATAAATACTAAAATATTTTTGAAGAAAAGTAAAAAAAAAAAATCCACTTGCAAAATACTTACATTGTAAGCCACATAGGTCCATTTGGACACTTTCACTGGAACCCACATAGATGTCCCTAAAGTAAAAGAAATTAATTTATTTAGTTGATTTTTTTAAAATAATTTCTTTATTTTTTTGAACGCTGATGGAAATATTTCTCAAAGATAGCAGAGCATTAAAAAGAAGTGGTTTCCTCAACATCACCTACTTTAAAACAGAAAATATAGTGAGATATTCTCTATGTGCTCATCAACAGCTAGCATTCACATCAAGTAGTGTATTTTAAATATATTTGGTATCTCTAAGGAAGTATCAACAGACAGAAATTAATATTTTATTTCCCAAACAAGGCAAGTAATTAGGTAGATTAGATAGGTGTGATTATATTTAAAAATAAAATTTACCAGCAGAAGATATGCTGATAATCCAAAAGAAGATTGAAGAATGACTGAGAAAATGAAGGGAATCAAGAATAACATAGCACTTTCTTCATGTGACTGTCAGAATAGACATTTATCTCTATCTTTTTAATTCCTCTATTTGTCATGTTACTTTCATGACATAATTTTTACCAGCAACATCTTACAAATTGTTTTTCTACTTTTCCCCTTCCTTTACCAAGAAACTCCTAAGCACCGTATCATAGGAAAATTAAGAGGACTGTAATATCTGAAGTATCACAGCTTCAAAGACTTTGCCTGCTAATAACAAACCTACCTAAAAACAATCAAGAACTCTACTTAAGTTTAAAACATGTTATTACACCAACCTGTTAAATCAGAAATTATTGCTGGATTTTCCTCAAAGTGTTTTGCTGGGTGTCTTATAAAGTGGTGATTCAAAACCGACAATTTCTTCTTGGAATTTTGAGTTATCTAGAAAAAATATTGATACATTCTATATTATTTTATATCTACTATGATAGTTCACGGGAGAAAGACCTGGTGATCTGCTTCTGTAAAGATTACAGCCAAGAAAACCCTGCGGGGCAGTTCTACATGGGGTCATCATAAGCAAAAAAATCAACTTGACGGCACCTAACAACAACAATAGTTCAATGAAACTTTGCTTCAACTGATCATGACAAAAGCCAGTATTTACTTACTCTGGGCCACCCATTGTTCTAAGTGCTCAATATGTATTAATTAACTCATTTAACCATCACAAGAACTCTAGGAAACAGTAACTTTTTAATCTGTATTTTAAATACAAAGAAACTAAAACAGAGAATTAAGGTTCTTGCCCAAGGTCACATGGTTATTAAAAGCCTGGGCTGGAATTCAAACTCTAGTAGACTGTCTCCAGAGCCCATGCTCTTAATCATTATGCAACAGTGCCTCTCAAGTAAGAGTTCAAAAGAAAACATTTTAAATACTTACAAAACCAGAAGAGAACTTAAGAAATCCTCTGGTCTAGTGATTCTGACACACTACTTCCCAATCTCAGGCCAATGCCAATCACACAGCAAAGATTTCACTGGTCACTAGAGAAAATATAAATCGCCAACTATCCTTTCTTAGAAACGATTCTCCTTTATTCTGTCCTACTCTCTGTGTCAAAATATCCTTTCTTTAATGGAATTATAATGAGAACTGACCGTGAGTTTTGGGTTGTTTATTTTTTTAAATGTTCTAGCAAAATAAAAAGTTGGCAACTTATGTCAGCCCTTCCCTTTTAAGAAAATTTTAGTGATGTATAAAATCCATTTGGAATCTATCACTCCATTCAATTTTCTAGTTTAAGCACTGAAGCCCTGATGGGTTAAGTAATTTTCTCAGCAACCACACAGGGAGATAATGACAAAGCTTGGATGAAGACCCAGGTTTACCAACCTTTTCAAATCGCTGAGGAAGTCACTCATCCTTTGCTGAAAGATTTCTAACTTGTTACTTTGCAAGACAGTACATTCCAATTAAAATTCTTACCAGAATGTTCTGCCCTGTTCAGAATAAGTATCTGACACCTTATTACAATGATATATAAGACGGGGCACATGTAGCATCAGAGCACGTATCTGACGCCCTGTCACTATGATATATGAGAAAATTTGAAGACTGTTATGTATCCCACCCATATAAAATATTTCTTCTACAGATTAGACAACTTCAAATACATCAACGGTGTTTCATCAAACTTTCAGTCCCTTCACCATCCTAATCATTTCCCCTGGATAAACTTAATGTTTCCCTTAAAATATGGTACACAAAATAGAATACAGTTCTCTAGATAAGGTGTGACTAGAGTAGAGGACAGTCAACTTTTAACTTCATTGAAGCAAAGTTTATACTTCTACTCAGTCTAATACTAAACTAGTTCGGATTTTTTTTTCTTTTTTAAAGCAGCCGTATCTGTTTGCAGTCAATTAAGTCATAGGTTTTTCTACCTTCAGTTAAGCCAGGACTCCCCATCCTTACTCTCTAGGCAATCAATCCATCCACTCTCAAATTTTCAGCTTTAACTTTTACGCTGATAATTATCAGCAATTCCTCTCTAACTTGAAGTACAAACTTTCACTTAACCTACAACAATAAACAGAAAAAAAAAACACTTAGAAAAGAAATTCCTCTCTAATTCTGATTCCCTCCTTAGCACCACATGCTTGAGGCTAATTATGTTTTGAGTTATAGTTTCCCTATATATATGTTCTGTCTCTCCTCCTAAACTATATGCTTCTTAAAGGGTAGGAATCATATCCTAACTTTTTATTTTCTAGTATTTAGTCTAGTCCATTATACATAGTCAGTTTGTTAAACAGAACTGTTTTACTGAAGTATTATATTTTGATTCTTAGCAGTATAGTTATCAAAAATTTCTCATTTGTTCCTTAAAATGTGACTGTAAAATATTTATGCATTCAAAATTACAACTTTTACATGATAGTATTAGAGTTCTTTTCTCATCTTAGAAGTTAGTGGAAAAACATGATTTGATTTATTAAAATTAGTTTCATGTACACTTTAAGAATATACCTATCTATCTGAGGTTCTTCATTAGTTAGAAAAAGGTTTTCCTAAATCCACCAAATATTATTTCAAGCACAAACTGGTCTTGCAATTTGATTTGATTCTATTATTATATATAGTTCTCTCAAACAGACTTAAAACTTTTGCCACAGTTTTCCTCACAATTAAAACAATGTACTCACAGAAAAAAATAAAGGTATTTCTATTCTGGAACTAATTCCAGTTGATATAAAGTGTAAGCTTCTGTTCATACCAAAGTTAAACAAAACGTATTATATCCATCGTTGCTATATAAAAAATTCACTTTATTAAAATAATTTGTAGCTTAAAAATACATACTTGTTTAGTATCAGCATCAATAAGATCAAAGAATGCTCGAACTGTAGTCAACTGCAACTGTTTACACCTAAAGAATAAAGTAAGTGTTACAAATCAAACTCTTAAAACATACTTTTGATCTAAGCATGTATCACTTTACTGAGTCTTTTAACCCTGTACACTAAAATTATCTAACCAATCAACTTATTAAGCATGTATCTTATAGATGAAACCTACAAAAATAAAGCAAAGTAAGTCTTTCTGGGTGGTTGACAGGAGAACTGTGAGGGTCCCTCTGTTCTTCATATCCCTAGTCTACTCCAGGTAAAACTATACTGTCTGCCCATCTTTATATGCCTCAACTATGTCAGAATGCAATCTTTAAGCAGAAACATATAGAGATAGGCATTAGGGTCTGTTTTTTGACCCATATTTAGTATCTTATTTCCTTATTTATATTTAAGGTAAATCTAATTCCTACTTAAGTTTTCCATGTGCTCCTGCCTAGAATAACTACTGCTGCTCTAACCAAACTCTTGAGATCGGGTAATTGGCCAGGAGCTCAGAAAATTCTACCACAAGTCCATCTGATTCTGCCCAACTATGACAAACTCTAAAATTTTGATATTTAACTCTAGCTTCATTTGAGACTGATGCTATTGGTTCCTTGGGACATGTTTTATAGGTTGTCAAGGGGACCCTGGTCAAACTAGCACAAGAACCAAGGTTAGTGTTTTAAGCTGCTAAGCTAATCTTTCTCCCATATCATTATGTATTTATGGACAAAGCTCTAAGAAAGGCAATACACCATTCAATGCATTGATGAGAAAAGAGGCCCACCAACAACTCACCAAAGTAAGTTATGCTAACTTACCACACTATGGAGAGGTGGTCTGTTGAGACCCAGGTCTTAGGCACTGCTGAACTCTAAAAGAAAAAAAAAAATCAAAAGAAAAGCACGTATGCTATTCCCCAAAAGGAGAATATTTAGAAACCTGTATTATTAGTTTCACTATATTATGAGATTTTGAAATTATCATTCTTATAAAAAGTGATCCAAAAATATTAAAATATTTCCCACATAAAATAGCATACACCTATGTCTTTACTGCTTGAGTCAAGCTCAAATTACCCTTTAAAAGCATCCACAGAATACTTACTGAAGCTTAATATCTAAATTTTTTAACTACTTTAATAAAAGACTGAGTTTAAGAGTATAAATCCTAGTTTCTGTATAAGTTAGATATTTCAGAAATTTTAGTTATGACTAAACCACAACTTAATAGGTTACTAATTCTTAATCAGGGGTGCACATGAGAATATCTAAACCTAGGGAGATTTTTCAAAATAAATATATCTGTGTCCCTGAATCGCCCCTGGGAAAACCACCCATCAACCTAACTATCACCTAGGACAGTTATATATGAGTAAAATGTAAACTTCTATTACGTTTAAGTGCTATTACCTAAGTGGGTGTATATTACAATAGTTTAGCCTATCCTACTAATACAACTGTGGTTTCTAACTTAAAAGATTCTTCTAGTCTCAATGGTTGTAACTGTCATTTAATTGTCCTTGAGATAATCATTCAAAAATTGTTATTTTATAGCAATTGTTTTTTGAAAGTGAATATGCATGTAAATACACGAAAAACTGTAGACTATTTTGGGGCTGAAAAAAGTAAAATAAGTCAGCTTTGAAAAAATTCCATAGAAGTAAAATATTTTCATCTGACAGAAATACAAACTGTCTTGAAAGCAATACATTGTCAAACGGATCAGAAAAGAGGAAAATACATCAGATACACACGCACACGCACGCACGCACACACACACGTGCGCACACACACACGATTAAAAAGACCAAAGTTCTTTAAAAGATAAGCTGCAGAACGTGGCATCAGTACAGCATCATACTCCAGACCAAGTCTAGAAAATAAGTTATATTCAATTTTTATGTGATTTAGAGATCTGTGTTTACTAAAGAATCCACATTTAATTTGAGGAATGCTAGCATATAATACTCAAAATATTCAACATCAGAAAGGTTGATACGGCCAATAACGAGGTTTGAGAGATTGACCAATTGAGTTTCAAATCTATTCTGGTTACATTCCAACTCCTCCAGTTATAAGAAAATGGTAGATAATAGAATAGCTTAATAATTTTTGCTTTACATATGATAAGCAATCAGCAAATACCTGTTTAATGCAAAAATAAGCAGCAATTTTAAGCAAGGCAGCAGTGGACAAAATGAGCAAAGGAGTATCTATGAAGAAAAATGACTATGAAGCAGTGACTTCCTAGCACTATCTCCTAAAAAAGCAGAGGGAAAGGCAGACCACACTCTGGATTTTCTCTTTAGAAATTAAATCAAGTTATATTTGGAGATGATGTGTACACTGGGTTAAGAGGTTAAGATCTTTTTTCTTTTAAAAAAAAAACTTTTTACTGTACTTAGGTGTACTGTACTGTACTTAGGTGAAAGTTTACAGAGCAAATTAGTTTCTCATTCAAAAATTTATACACAAATTCTTTCATGACATTGGTTGCAAATCCCTGTAATGTGTCAGCACTTTCCCCCTTTCCACGCTGGGTTCCCCACTTCCATTTGTCTGTTTTTCCCGCCCCTTCCTGCCGTCTCATCATTGCTTTTGGGCAGGTGTTGCCAATTTGGTCTCATATACTTGATTGATCTAAGAAGCACATTCCTCACCGGTGTTACTGTTTGTTTTATAAGCCTGTCTAATATCTAACATTTGGCTGAAAGGTGAACTTCAGGAGTGGCTTCAGTTCTGAGTTAGAAGAGTGTCTGGGGGCCATAGTCTCGGGGGTTCCTCCAGTCTCTGTCAGACTAGTAACTCTAGACTTTTTTGTGAATTTGAATTTTGTTCTGCACTTTTCTCTCACTCTGTCTGGGACCCTCTATTGTGATCTTGGTCAGAGTGGTCAGTGGTGGTAGTCAGGCACCATTTAGTTCTTCTGGGCGAGGCTGTGGTTTGTTAGTCCTTTGGACTAATTATTTCCTTGTGTCTTTGGTTTTCTTCATTCTCCTTTGCTCCAGATGGGATGAGACCAGTAGATGTATCCTAGATGGCTGCTCGCAAGCTTTTAAGACCCCAGATGCTATTCACCAAAGTAGGATGTAAAACATTTTATAAACTATGTTATGCCAATTGACCTAGATGTCCCCTGAGACCATGGTCCCCAGTCCTCAGTCCCAGTAACTCAGTCCCTGGAGGTGTTTGATTGTGTCTAGGAAATTTCTATGACTGTGCCCCCTTTGTGCTCTATTACATGCATGAATATACATGCTGTACATATAAATATATATGTAAAAATATCCACACCCTAATCTATATATGTATGTGGGTATACTCCTATATACATTCCTTTCCCTATTCAGCACCCATATCTACCTATGTATCTGCTTGTAAATTACTGTTTGTTTTTACTGTTGTTGTAGGGTTGTACATGTTATATTATTTACTGTGATTGCCTTTTTTTTTCCTTGTGTTCCTCTCAGTGTCTTCCTTTTCCTTGGTCAAACTGTGTTGAATTCCTAAGAGGTTAAGATCTTAACTGAAGTTTTCAAGGTTAAATATACAAGAAACAACGTTCAGTCCTAAATAAGGAAACTTGAACTCACTTTACACAGGCTATGTATTCCAGTTAAAGACCAAATACTTGATGTCCTAGCAGGGAAGAATAATTAGCAAATTAATCAGTCAGGGTTCTGTTTACACTTACACTATCAAAGCTAATCATTTTATTTTAAAATTGGTAAACCTTCATTCAAGTTTAGCATTCAGGAGTAAATGTTTGATATTTCACTACTATTATATACAGTATACCAGTTAGATATAACCAGATACCCTGGATTTCAGTCCACACTTTCTTATACTTACAACTCTAATCAATAGACAGGCTCTTATTTTGGACAAGACATAACTATTCCTCAAAAATACCAGTTATTTTTACAAAGTTTCTAAGATCTTTTTTTACTTCCTATGGAGATAGTTATCCATGCCTCTGTCCTCCCAACACATCCATCTTCCTTCTTACGTTCATTTTATTTCTTTCCTTCCTTCTTCCTCTCCCTCCCTCCCTCTCTCTCACACACACAACAGTTCTATAATAACTTAGCAGTCATTTCCAAGCAGCTACATATTATTTCTTCTTTTATGTGCCACTGTGTCCATCATGTGACTTTTAAAGTAGACTCTTAAGTTAAAAAAATAGAAAAAAAGATTACCACAACAGATAAGGCACTGGTATGATGGCTTAATTGTGGTAGAAAAGTCAATCCTGAACGAACTTGGTAATCTCGGAATCCTCCAGCTACAGAAAGTGTGGTTAAATTTATGTGTTGGGCATTTAAAATCCAATAGTTGTTTACGGTCATATAAAAATCTGGTAGGGAATAAAAAAGAGAAACATTAAAATGTAGTAGTCATTTCCCACAACAATATCTATAATAATAAGATTAAACAGAATTTCTGCTTAAGCCATCTGAATGGTCTATAAACGTGTTATTCACATTTTACCCTGTTTTGAGTAAAATCAATTTATACATATTCTTCCTTCCCCATTAGATCAGAGTACAAATATTAAGAGTTACTAAAGCTATCAATAAGAAAAAAGATACCCAAATTTTATTAGCTTTGACAAATCCATATACAAACAGGTCTCCATATTCCACAACAATACTGCTTATTCATGGATCACAAAGTAGCAAGGAAAGAAAACCCTAAAATTCTCTCAAACAAAGATAAGAGCTTATTATGCTAAAGAGTTATAGACCACCGTAATCACAGCAGTGTCTCTGCTTGTGAGACTGAGTGGTTCTCCACTGTAGCTAACCACCACCACACGAAGTACTATTTAAGTGCTTACAATGCAATCTACCAGAACAACGCCATTGATACTAGTCTTAGGACTATGCTGTAATGGAAAATCTTAGGGCTAGAGTTTCACTCATTTAGTGTAGCAAATAGTTCAAAGGAAAGAACTTGCAAACAATTTTTTAGTGTCAAAGATAACCAAACTGAGGCCAGGGTAGAGTAGTTCTCATTTTCTTTTCTGATTTTCAAAACTTAATTTATTTTTATCCTGGTATTTGATCCCATTAAGGGTTTCAAACATTCTGGAACAGCAAACTCCCCCATTAAAGATCTTGGCAGTATTTACTTAGATTGCCAGCCATTAGACCCATTCCTAACGCTCACAGAGCCAAGGACAAAAGTACGAATGGGGCATATATACCACAGGTCTAAATAATTAAAAGTTAAAAATCTAGCTAGCAAACTGTCAAATCAAAAATAATTTTCTCTGCCTACCATGACAAATATATCATTGAAAGAACCTTGAAAGTCAGGTTCATATGAAGAATTCCCAGACTCTTTAGAGTTGGATATTGGATTACGGCAGCACAGGGAGAGCACATCCCTGCCCCATGGCTGTGCTGTCCTTCTCCTCCCATCTCAACTTCATCCTGCATCACTAGGGCCTTGTGTGCACATCGAAGATCTGTCTGTACCTCCTGCAGAGCCATCTCTTGGCCACAGCTCAAGCTTAGAGAAGAATACCCCTGCCCTCAGGAGGACAGATCCAGGTAACAGACACATAAAGCCTGGAAGTGGGCTTGGGGAATATGGGCAAGACATTCTTTAGTCCTGGGTACCCGGATCATGGTCTAAAAGTAGAGGCACTGGCTCTAAGTGGTGATGCCCTTGGCTCACACATACTCCTTATCCTATGGGGAAGGGTGGGGCCTAAACAGGCCCTCCAAGTGCAGACCCCAGTGCAGGGCCCCCTTCCCCCTACTTAAGGACAGTATTTCCACCAAGTACAAACAGAGAATCTACCTCTGCAGGTAATACAAGTCTCTGTCTCCCAAAAACTTAAAATTCACCACCCCTTGAATTAGTTCTTTTTTCATTCTAATTCTGGCTTAATACAATAAAGAATAAATACAGAATAAATGGTAAAAGGGCCTGCTAACTACAAGGCACCCTGACTCTAAGACTCACTTTCAGCCTAAGCCTTTTAGAGATAAAGACCATTGCTATCCTTTGAAAAAAATACAACCTAACTCTCTTGAAAGTTCGTTCCTCAAATAATTTAACAAAATACAAAGATAGAGTTTCTCAATTGTGGTGTAAGTACTGTGATTTTCAGCCTCTGATTTTTTTCTAAACCTATAGGTAATTTATGATTATTAGTAGTACAACATATTTAGATAACTTAAACAACAATACTATACCTTTTGTCATTAAAAGATTAATTTAGGCAAAGTTTAAATGCAATAAGAGAAAAATCAAACTTCACAGCATGGCTGACCAGATACTTTCAGCAAATAAATTGGCAATGTTATTACGTTAAGATGGATACTTCCGAAAATTACTTCTGCTTGGAGTCACTAGGACATTTTTTTTTCATTTAACTATAAACAAAATTTTCATCTAATGCAAATTTTGGTAGGGTAAGAAGTGTGAATTTACTGAGCAGTAACCAGAATTGTTTCTTTACAAAGAACATTTTCTTCTACTTATATTCTTAAAAGCAGTGAAGGTAATTCCTGACTTTATTTAACAAAAAGTTGGGATCGAAGGCACTTAGTTCTTATTCTGTGATAATATCACTATTTGAATAGATTGATGTCAATTATAAACTCCCACTGTTCACTCAAAAAACTCTTCACAACAGTATAGTATTATCCATAACTTTATTTCCTATTCCATAGTACTATACCTCAATTATAAGGCAGTACAGTATCAAAGGAGCCCTGGTGGTGTGGTGGGTTAAGAGCTTGGCTGCTAACCAAAAGGTCAGCAGTTCAAATCCACAAGCTACTTCTTGGAAACCCTGTAGGGCACTTCTACTCTGTCGTATACAGTTGCTATGAGTTGGAATCAACTCGATAGCAATGGGTTTGGTTTTGGTTTACATAAAGTGCTAGCAACCCTATTTATTTAAAAACTAGATATTTCTACTATTTTACAAAAATATAAGTTTTGAATACAGTACTGAGAGAGTTAACAAAATGTAGGTAGTTTAAGCATATATTAAGAGCCACAAAATCATCCTCAAGAATAACTAAACTGAAGTATAATAAGAAGTCCTATAGGGCCTAAGGATTGTAAGAAACATGCCATCCATGTTAAGATGGTATGGACAGAAAACTAACAGCAGTTTCAATTATGAGCCTAAACTGAAAGTCACAAAAACTTTTTTTGTGAACTGCTTCACACGTGGGTGCATCTGTTATTGCTGTGTGTTGAGTCGATTCTGACTCAATGATCCTACATGACAGAGCTGAACTGCCCCATAGGGTTTCCTAGGCTATAATCTTTAAAAGATCACCAGGTGTTTCCTCCTGCAGAGCCGCTGGTGGGTTCAAACCACCAACCTTTCAGTTAGCAGCTGAGCTCCTAACCACCGTGCACCAGGGCCGCTTGGTAAATTTGTAGCACACTCTAAAGGCAGCAGCTGCATGGATTTATTTATTTAATCCTGAGCAACGATGGGGAGATCAGATAGCGCTTATATAACAGTACTCACCTGTAATGAAACGATCTAATGGCATGACAGGAGCTACATGAGGAGTTGCTTGTGTAATAAGAAGATTTATCAGATCTTGTTTAAAATTTTTCAGCGTAAGCAATGCTCTTGCAACAAGGCCACCCATAGAATGACCAATTATCGCCACACTTTTTGGAGCAAATTCTTGACCCTATTTTAAAAAAAAAATCACCAAGGCATAACTAAGGCTTAGTGTCATAACAAAAATGCTAAATAGTGCTCTCTGCATACAACCAATTTTATAGAAAAATGAAAAATTAAACTGTATAACCTCCCATCTTAAGGTACAGAAATACATTTTCATATAGTTATAATCAGTGTACACATCCTATATAGATTTCTATTTTCTTGTAATGTCCTTGATTGGTTTTGATACCAGGGTTTGCTGGCCTCATCAAACAGACTGGTGTTTTTTTCCTTCCTCTATTTTCTAACATAGTTTGTGTAAGATGGTTATTATTTCTCCCCTAAATGTTTGATAAAATTTACCATTGAAGTAATTATAGATTTTTTTTTTTTTTTGAGGTGTTGTAAAGTTTTTAACGACAAACTTGATTTTAAGAAATAGATACAGGGCTACTCAGATATTCTGTTTCTTCCTCTGTGTGGTAATTTGTGTTCTTCAAGGAATCTGTATATTTCATCTGAGTTGTTGAATTTATTGGTATGAATTGTTCATAATATTCTGCTATCATTCTCTTAATATCTGTAGGCTGTGTAGTAATGTCTTTTTCATTCATGATATTGTTCCTTTGTGTTTCCTTCTTTTTTCTTTTGTTTTTATTCTTAAAGCTAGGGCTTTATCAATTTTATCTTTTCAAAGAATCAGACTTTGGTTTCAATCATTTTCTCTGTGTCTATTTTCTATTTCAATGTTTTCCATCCTCGGCTTTATTATTAACTTCCTTCTACTTAACTGAGCTTACTTTGCTCTTCATTTTCTAGCTTAAGTTGGCAGCTTAGATCACTAATTTTAAATCTTTCTTCTTTTCTAATATAAGCTTTAAGGCCATAAATTTTCTTCTAACCACAATTTTACTTCGAGAAATTCTGAAGTTGTGTTTTATCATTCAGCTGAAAATATTTTCAAATTTCCATTGTGATTTTCTTTTCGGCCTTTTGGTTACTTAGAAGTAATTTCCAAATATTTGGGGATTTTCCAGGTATCTTTTTGTTGTTGATCCTAATTTAATTTTGCTATAGTCAGAAAGTAAGCTCTGTATGATTTCAGTCTTTTGAATCTTATTGAGACCTTTTTCTTCTGGGAGGCCCAACACCTGGTCTAGCTTAGTGAATACATTATCTGCAGTTGTTGGGTGTAGTGTTCTAAAAATGTCAATTAGGTTAAGTTGGTTAATAGCGTTGCTCAAATCTTTTATCGACTTTCTGATATCCTGTCTACTTTTTTTTTTATCAGTAGTGAGAAGAGCAATGAAACCTCTAATTGTAGTTGTGATTTATCTATTTCTCCCTTTAGTTGTTAGTTTTTGCTTCATGTATTTTTTAATGTTCTATTATATCTCCTCCATCTGCTAAGTTACACCTCTGTTATTCTAAAAATGAAAAAAATGAAAATATGCAACTCTAAGTTATCAGTCTACCATGACTATTATACCATTTCACTTAAGAACCTTGAAGCAGAATAATTCCATTTACTGCTCCTCCCATCCTTTTTGCCATTGTCATATGTTTTCCTTCTAAATGCTATAAATTTCATAACACAATTTATTTTGCTATAATTCTTTTTTTCTCTTTTTACCTTTTTACTCTGAACCAATTAGAAAAAAGTTGCAAACATAGAATAGAGAGTTCTTTTATACACCTCAGTCAACTTCCTCTTATGTTATTTTACAAACCACAGAATTACCAAAACCAAGAAATTAACACTGGCACAACAGTGTTAACTAAACTGCAGGCCTAATTTTAATTTCATGTTTTTCACTGTTTCAGGATTCCTTCTAGCATCTTACCTTGCATTTTCTATTATTTTTTCTTAGTCCCCTCAATCTGTGATAGCTCCTCAGTCTTCCCTTGTTTTTCATGACTTTTACGCTTTTGAAGAGTACTGGTCAGTTATTTTGTAGTATGCTTCCCAACTTGGGTTTGTCTAACGATTTCTCAAGATTAGAATGAAATTATATTATTTTTGGCAAGAATACCACAGAAATGATGTTGTGTCCTCCTCAGTGTATCATATCAAGGGGTCCTGGATGTCAGTATGTCTTATTACCATATTTTTACCTAAATAATACGTGCCATCTGTGTTTGTTTGCCAACCATGCCTGCCCCCAGGAGGTATCTTCAAAAGCGTGATAAAACTAGCATAGTGCACCTACAAAAATACCTCAAGGGGGGACGATGCAGTTGGCAAACAAATGTAGAAGGCATGCATTATTTGTAAAAATATGGTACTAGTGATGTTAACCTTGGTTAAGATGGTGTCTGCCAGATTGCTCCACTGTAGTTATTGTTTACATTTGGAGTTAATATCTTAGAAGAAAAACCTTGAGACGATGCAAATATCCTTTTTTCCTCAGACTTTTGCATCCGTTGGTGGATCCTGTCTGCAACAATTATTTCTAGGTGTTTGTCTAATTGTGATTTTTTATTTCTCTCTTTCCTTCTACATTTATTACTTGGAATTCTTCTGTATGGAAGAGCTGTCCCTTTCTACCTATTAATGTATTCAACTGCTTATATATACCAGTATGGATTCATGGATATTTCATTTTCTGAATTAAAAACCCAGTAAGTCAACTATCTTTTAAGGAATTTAATAATGGAAAAAACATGTCTTTTATATTTACTCATGCAGTTACCATTTCTCATGTTTTTCATTTCTTCATAAGACCTGAAATCCCATATCTGGTATCATTTTCCTTCAGAATGAATAACTTCCTTCAGTATTTCTGCTAGTGACAAATTCTGTCAGTTTTTGTTATCCTGACAATACCTATTCAGAAGGATATTTTTGCTGGATATGCAATTCTAGGTTGAAAGGTTTTTGTTTTTTCTTTTTTCCTTTCAGCACTTTAAAGATGTTGTTCTGTTGTTTTCGAAGCATTGTTTCCAATGCGAAATCAGTGGTAATTTTTATTATTGTTCCCCTGTAAGTCATGACTTTTTTTCTCCTTGGCTGCTTTTAAGATTTTCTATCTTTTGTTTTTGGTAATTTAACTATGATATTTAGGTATGCTTTTCTTGTGTTTATGTTGCTCAGCATTCATTGAACTTCCTGAATCTGTGGGCTGAAAATGTTTATTCAAAAATCAGAAAATTTGGGGCCATTATTTTTTCGAATACTTTTTTCTCCCTCATCTTGCTCTCCTTATCTTCTGGAGTTCCAATTATATGCCTGTTAACCGCTTAATATTGTCCCATAGGTGCCTGAGGCTCTTTCATTTTTCATCCTTTTACCATCTGTGCTTTAGTTTGGATAATTTTTACTGCCCTATCTTCAAGTTTAATGATCCCTTCTTATAAAGTGTCTAACTTTTTCTGGCCCAACTAGTGAAGTTTTTGTCTCTGATATGTATTATATGAATTCTAGATTTTCTTTTTGGTTCTTTTCTCATACATTCCATTTCTCTGCTGAGATTCCCAAACGGTTACTTAGTAGAGTTAAGGAACTTTAAATCCTTAACTTTGCTTGATATTTTTAAGGCTTATTTTCTCAGCATTGTTAGGGTGAATCCAAGAGTAGGTTTTACTTTAGGGCTAGAGTAGTCCTAGTCCAAAAGTATATTCTTTCTAGGGTCTCTGGTAAATGCCCAGTGTCTACAGAGATGTCTTTCCACTCAGGTTGGTCAGAATTTCTGTTTCCCAGCGATGTGTGCCCTCTGGAATTGCAATTCAGCTCACAATTCCCAGTAGCTTTTTCTGCTAGGCCTTGCACATGGCATACCAAGGGAGAGATGGTAGGAGCAGTTCACCCCAGTGGGAATGGTATTTTACCCCTGGGAATTGCCAATGTCAAAAATCTTAGTCTGTTTTACTACTCTTTCAAATTTCTCTGTAGATAATCCATTCCCCTATATTTCTTATTCCTGAGGTAGACACAGTCCCATGTGTCCCCCTTGGTATGCCCTGTCTTGCAACCTCTTACCCTCTGAGACTGCAAAATGCAGATTTCTAGAGTTCGTTTCTCTACCTAGTTTTCTTTTTTCTCATACCATGTCCCACAAATCTAGCCACCTCAGCAGTCCCAAATTCCAATCTCTGCCTGCTCAACTCTGTGATACCAATATGCTCTGCTTGGTCTCCACTTACTTGCCCCATGGTCAGCAAACTGCCCCAGGAAAAAAGCCGGAGAGATCATGGAGCTCACTTCATGTGTCTTCCTCCTTTCATGCTATCACAGTCCTTCATTGGCCAACATCTTAAAAGAGGTGCTTCAGATACCTTAACCAGTTTCACAGTTGTTTACATACACAGGAATTCTATTCTAGTACCACTTACTTAATCATAGTTAGAAGCAGAAATCCATACCAATGGTTTTTAGGAGGCTTTTAGGAAATGTATTTCACTCCTACTTAATATATAAAGTTAAAAAAAAATTTTTCTTTCCTAAATTCACAAGAAAGGTTTCTTATAAATTCAATTTAAACTTTAAAAACCACCGAGTTCAAAACAACAGACTCCCACAAAAAAACTTTGTGCCATCTTTGCTTCAACTTTCATACAAACAAACACATGATTTAAAATATACTGAGTCTGTTTAAGAAAAAAAAAAGTTACTACTAGGTTGCACTACTATTGATATGCATGCTTATCTTTTACCTTGTAGAGTTTCAGAATTGTTTTAATGCATTCATGTACAAACTTGGTCTGCTTCTGAAGACTTCCACCATAGAGAGCCACCAGTTCTTCATTGAAGTTCACACTGAAGAAGTCAAAGTGGTACTTGAAGTCAATGTCTTCTGCTTTTCTAAGTGCTATAGAGCCAACAGAACGAACTGCAGAGGAAAAGGGCGAAGTGCACATTAATCAAATCTTTTTAAAGTTTCATCTATTCCTGCTTCAAGGTCTCTCAATAAATAGCCTTCTCTCACACCCTGAATATAAATATTTCAGGGTGACACCCTTTAACAGTACCAATTTATAAGAAAAAAGGATCCTAGCAGTTGTATGCCTTGCACACTGTTAAGAGTGCCCTAAATATTTTTAAAATGAAATTAAATAAATAGTGAACAGGCTACTCATTCTTCACCTGCTCCTTCTTCAGTAAGAGTAATAATAGCTAAAAGGAAGAAGAATTCTTTAAAGAATAAAAGACAGAAATTTTGTCACACTTATTGAGGATTTTAAGAATAAGAAAGTTCCTAAAGAAGTATCTATTCATCATTTGATTTATATACTCATGCTTAATTCATCCTTCTCTCATACATGACATCCAATCCATCAGTAAGTCCTGTCATGCTCTAACTTCCAAACATACCACCAATTGAAGTTTCTCACCATTTTCACCACTACCTACCTAATCAAAGCACCATCATCTCTTGCCTGAAATACTTAGTCTCTTTGCTTCCACTTTTGTTTTTGTTGTTGTTATATGTCCTTTAATAGATTTTATTGTGAATTGATTACAATGAGTGGCATAAAAGTGCAATGCTTGTTTTAGCAAATACCTCTATTTTGCCATTTCACTTTTTTTTTTACACATATTACCCACATACAATTCACATATTATACAAATCACTCTGTAAACTATAGAAATTCAGTGGTTTTCAGTACACTCACAGAATTGTGCAACCATCTACACAGCCTAATTTAAAACATTTATCACCCCAAAAAGAAACCCTAGACCCATTAGCAGTCATTCCCAATCCCCACTTCACCCCAGCCTCTGGCAACCACTAATCCACTTTCTCTCTATGGATCTGCCTATTCTGGACATTTCATATAAATGGAATTATACAATATGTGGTCTTTTTGTGACTGGTTCTTTCACTTAGCAACATGTTTTCAAGGTTCATCCATGTTATAGCATATATCAGTACTTCATTCCTTTTTATTGCTGAATAATAAATATTTCATTGTATGGATATGTCACATTTTATTTATTCATTCATCAGCTGACAGACATGGTTTGCTTCCACCTTTTGCCTGAATAGTGCTACTATGAATATTTGTACACAAATTTTTTTTTTAATTGTACTTCAGGTGAAGGTTCACAGAACAAATAGTTTCTCATGAAAGAGTAGTACACATATTGTTTTATGACATTGGTTAACAACCCCACGACATGTCAACCCTCTCCCTTCTTGACCTTTTTTTTTGGTGAAAATATACATAGCCAAAGATATACCATTTCAAAAATTTCTACATGCACAGTTCAGTGACATTGACTACGCTCTTCCAATTGTGCTGCTATTCTCACTTT